TCTTAGACTGTCACATAAAAGACCCTGTGGTTTTTCACATCACCCTGTAACATTTTCCTTTGGTCCATATTCTTCCAGGCATACTTGTGTTGGGTTTTAAGTCCCTATGGGCTACTTGTAGAGTAAGTTACGTGAGTAAAGGTGGCAAAACATAACCTGTTTTCCCTAATTTTCCTTTAAAAAAATCAGTGCTTCCAAACCATAACTACTTTGTAAATGTCAGCATTAATTTAACTTCTACTTGTGATTATGTCCCTGCTTTCAGGAAAAAAAATAATATATAAAAATAGGCCATAATCATTCTGAGGGTCTATTGAACTTGCTTGTAATACCAAAAGGTGTTTGACCAAGATCATGACTTGAAATACAATAAACACTGTGTTGAGAGCACCACATCTGCCTTGAAATGAATTTATTGATTTTTTTTTTTTGATATGTGAAACTCATGATTATTACAGTTAATTTTTAAGCAGAGAGACTCTTTCATCTGGTGGCTGGGAAAACAAGGGGTGATTCAAATGTACTACTTACCAGCTGTTATCCATGTTTTTATTTAAATAGAAATATAATACATTTAAAAATGCATGTTGGGCTAGTTCAGACTGACAGTATATGGAGGCAGATTGTTTCATGAATAATATTATTTATATAAATAATACATTTATTGTTTCATAAATAAACTTTAGACTCTTAAAATTACTTCTAAATCTATGTCTACACTATCTTTTTAATTAGGAAAGTATTTTACAGAGGCTGAGGAAATTATGTAACCTTTTCTCCCTGAAGGTCAGTGGGATTTAGGCAGCTAATTTCTCATGGGATGCATCTTTTTTTTATATTGATACATAAGAGAATTCATATTAATGACAGACTTGATTATGATATACTTACAAAACAGAGCATCTTATACCCTGAGTCACCCTACTGATTTCAGTAAAATTATCTAAGTACTAATATTTTGCTTAATGTAGTATCAGAATATGGCCCTTAATAATTGTATCAAAATAAAAATAGAATAGCTGACTTCCCTGTGACTGGCACCTCTAGATCCTCAGGTTCGCTTAATCACACAGGAATCTAATCTCATTATTATTGATCTATCTGACTTTCCAATAGATTATTTCAGGCACAGTAGTATGCAAAATATGGGTTCACTAAGTGGCTGTGCATACCATCAGACCTGAAACTGCAAACATTGCTCTCTTATTTGCCCTCCTCAAACTCTGATAACTTTGTTTTGAATTTCAGGTCATGTTATAGCCCTTGCAAGCAATGATAGAACTGTTAAGGTTCTGGAACTCAAATCAGGGCAACTTTCCAGCCTGGTGGGTCATGAAGATGATGTGCAGTGTGTTGTTTTTGATCACAAAGCAGAGCACCTGCTTTCCGGAGGTGCTGATGGCACTGTTCGACTCTGGACCTGAGAACTAGAATCCTGTTTTAACATGCTCTTGGTTTCAAAGCCTTATGGAAATGATTTGATGACATGACAGTGACAACTTAGTTAAGTGTCTTCACAGTTAATGTTTGCAGTAGGCATAATTGCACAAAATTATTATAATTGTCTATTTTATCCAAATAAAATCCCAGATTTCTCTGCCTTTGTATTGATAGTGTGTTTTTTTGAACATCAAGAATTTTTCATTTGGTTGTTTCAGGAGAAATAGCTTTACAATGACGCCTAATGACAGACTAGATGAATTGCAAGGAGATTGATTTTTGATGTAACAGAACAAGAGACACAAGAGCTCGGCTACTTTTTTTTTATTCTCTCTTCATCAAATCCAGCCCGTGGCAAGAAGTGAAGTTTTAATAATGCAGCAACATGGGATTTTTTATGCAGCAAATGGTTTGGATGCCGGCAGGGCAAGAATGAACAAGAGTTTGCGAGAGATGCCATGACAGTAATCTTTTGCCTCATCATTCAGTAACTGCAGAGAGCTTAAATCTAAATACTGGCACTTCCTGGAACTTAGCCCTGCAGTCTGATCTGGAGCAGGTTCTCTTAAGAATTAAAATGGGCTGGGGGGAGGGAGGGAGGGAGGATGTGGTCCGATGCATGTGAAATATGTTTAGGTATGGTTAGAAATCGCTTTCCCTCTTAGGATGGTATCCAAGGAAATAAGTGATCCCAAGAGAAGCTCTGGAGGGCTCTTAGTTTCTTTGCCCAAGAGCGGACTGTGAGGAGACGAGTGTGCCGCCCTGTGATGCATGATGCTGGGCTGGGGCGCTGACCGTGGTGCTGAAGGAATTCCGGCTGCCGGCAGAATGAGCTCCGAGGCAGCGCCTGTCGGGCTGCCGCTGTCCGCGGTGCTGAACGCAAGGGAAAGTTACTCCCGTGCTTGAGATCAGAAATACCCCCGTGGGTTGGGAGAGGTTGTCGAAGCAGCGTATCGTGATGGTGTTGACTGCATTTCAGCCTGGGCTGGCTTTGAAGCTCCAGCATGCTCTTGCCGTTTCTAGTAGCGACAGCGTAGCAAAATAAGCAGCTGGCTTGCTGTTGCAAGCACTGAGTGGAAAGGATCAGTTGTGTTTGGGGAAGGGAAATTGCATCCAAAGACCTGAACCAAAAAAAAAAAAAAGAATAACTTGGACACGATGATCGTGCTGTTTGGATCTGGATTGTTACAAGGCAGCCTTGCCTCTGGACCTCCTTGTTGCTGCTTGCTTTGAATTCTGAACACTGGCTTAAAGCTTATTTCTCATGTCTTGGCTGCCGGGCTGCCGTTTTCCTGTGTTTTCAAATGGGAGGTGGAGGAAAAAGGATTGTTCATGATTCATCACTGAAAATGTAATGAAGATGAACAGCTTTTACTGATATATTTCTAACCTTTTAGTCCATGTTGGCCTGTGACCCCCTCCAGCTTTCACCCCGAGCCTGATTTGGTAAGTATACATAATTCACTGGGGTGGGTGGAGGGGAGGGGGGACCTTTACTCAGAGTAAGACACTATCCAGCATCTCTTTTAATGAGAAAAGATAAAAAGTTCAGTTGTAAACTAATTCTGAGCTGTGTAGGGTTTGTTTACTTGTTGAAATCTTTCTGTAGTGTAGATCTGAATTCTGCTCAGTTTCCATTCTGTTCATTAAACTGAGCCTCTGAAGTTGCCAAGGGACATGTGAGATGACCACAGGCTATAACAATGTATAACTGACTTATTTTTACTTCTTATAGAACTTGGTTTTATTTGGTGCCTTTCCTTTAAAGTTGGGTAGATTTAGGGAAATGATTGGATAATTTTTGATTACCTTCAATATCAATCTCTTCTATTGGTTCCATTTTTTCTTAAATTTTCACTTACCTAAGCCTGAAAAATTGATGCCTACCTGTAGCTTGTAGGTGAGCAAGTCAACAGTCCCCAGATCCATAATGCAAACTTATCTTTGAGCATCACCCATTTTTTAAACACCCTGTTACAAAAGATATTGTTGGTAGTATCACAGTACATTACCCTTGTGATAAAAAGCTATACAGAACTTTAATTAAGAAAATATCTTTTGATTTTGATAAAGCTTGTGTAATATCCGGTGTCTCCCTCTGTTGCAGCCTTAGAAAAAAATGCCTTGTCAACAGAATCCCTTAGCTTCTCCTGTATGATTAGAGCTTTCTCCTAATGCATTTGTCTTTGACACTGTTTCTTTAATCAAAATATTGAACATCAGCCAAAAATCTCAATATACAATAAATATTTCTTTTTGGGGAATAAGACAAAATCTGTATTTCTGTATGCATGTGTGCACGTGTGCATGTGTGTGTGTGTATATGTGTGTGTATACACACACACACACACACACACACACACACATATATATATATATATATATATATAAATGCAGGCACATGTTTGTTCTATTTGTTGTTTTTATCAGCCTCCACATACCTCCTTCCTAATAAATACAGCACTAATATTTCATCTGATAAAAAAGTTTCCAGTCCATGCCCACTTACCTTATAGCAGGACAGAGACCTTTTTTCCTTCCTGATTCTGAAAGGTATATAGAAAAGAACCAAGAAAGTATACTTAGGGACAAAGATGTGGTAAACAATATAGCTTACCGTGTGCCAGGAAAATATATCCTGAGCCTTTTTTTTTTTACCTGATTATTCTTGGTGTGAATAGCAGTAGTCTTTCCTTCTTTCTCAAAACAGTATCTTGAATACTTAAGAACAATTCTCCATTGCCAAAAGTGTAAGAATTCCATGTAGCTGTATGACATTTTAGAATGAATACTGGCCCTATGCCTTTGAGACAAATATAATAACTGTATGCACGGAACATTTTAAATATTTATCTATGAACACCTATTCAGAATTTTTTTTTAAACTGTTCCCTGAAAATGTCAGTTTCTAAGTAATACTCAATAATGCTTATGGTCCTAGCCCAACTACTTTAGCTCTTTCTGCAGGAATACTATAATTAAAACTATGGCCACCTGTCTCTAAAAATAAACAAAATTCAGCATTGTCTTTCTTATTCAAACCATATGCCTGGCTGCAACTCAGATTATTATTGTTGTACTTATTGGTTTTCATGGTTACTTCAGAAGGATAGGAACAATAATAAATCTTTGTTCAAATCCCATTGAACTAACTTTTCACCATGTGATTTAAGGCAAATAATTCCACTTCCTGTATATCAGACATTTCCAGTTAATACTGTAAACCAGCCTGAATGGAGGTTATCTGTGGAGGTATGTGTGTGTTTGTGTGTTTGTGTGTGTTTACACACACAATTATTAGCTTCATTTAGAGATTTCCTGTTCTTTATTCTCCTTAAAAATAACTTGAAAGAAGATATTTGTTTAAAATGAAACAGTGTTTCTTATCACTGCGCATTGGAAGCAGTAAGCTTTATCCACAGATACAGATTGAGCACATGGCCTTACCAAGTATGTATTTGTTAATAATTCAAGTTGTCTTTATTTAAAATATCTATTTTCAGCCCCTGCTTTTTGGTATCCCTATGGAAGCAGCCGTTTATAACTGATAATAGGATCATATGGAGAAGTTGAGGAGGGGGATGGCTCTTCATATTCATGAAGCCTGCATACTTCTGTTATTAATCTCTGGCTTGGTCACCCCTGCTGCTATCAATCATGAAGACTACCCTGCTGATGAAGGGGACCAGACCTCAAGTAATGACAATCTGATCTTTGATGACTACCGAGGGAAAGGCTGTGTGGATGACAGTGGTTTTGTATACAAACTGGGAGAACGTTTTTTCCCAGGGCATTCCAACTGTCCTTGTGTCTGTACTGAGGATGGACCTGTTTGTGATCAACCAGAATGCCCCAAAATCCACCCAAAATGTACTAAAGTGGAACACAATGGATGCTGCCCGGAATGCAAGGAAGTGAAAAACTTTTGTGAATATCATGGAAAAAATTACAAAATCTTGGAGGAATTTAAGGTATGAACAACCTTTGGGAGTTATTTAATACTAGCATGTTATATGAACTGATCGGGGATGAGATTTTCCAAGGTACTCAATATTTGCTTACCTCTGCTCCTCCTTAAGCCAATAGTAAAACTACCAATGGCTTCAATAACAGCAGAGTCAAACCTATACTGAATTCATTTAAACAAAAATCAAATTCAAGCTTGTGCAACAAAAAGTATTGGTGTAGTACTTGAAGGATTACTATTCACAAGCACATCAAAAGTAGGGAGTAACCTAGAATTGCTCTTTGTGATTAAATGGTGATAAACTAAACTTACTAGTGTTGTTTTATGCAGATGGCTGTTTAAAATAATAGAAAGTATACAGTCCAATGATGACTTTAATAGCGAAGTTCCCATTAAGAATATTGAAAATATTCAGTGATCCTTTTGCAACTAAGTTGAAGACTTTCTTTGAAGGACAACCTGTAGCTCTTCATGGGAAAATACCATAGCTATTTATATACCTATATACTTGCCAGCTTATTTTCTCTTCCGGCAATGGACATAATTCCACATAAGACCTTGTGGTTTCCAAACTTTAAGTAACACAAGTTTATAGATTTTTTTTCCCAAATAGTGTTTTCTTTTGATTCGTCTTGTAAATAGTATATAATTTAGGTATTTCTTGCACGTGGGGTTCCTCATTCACTCATATCTAACCTCAGTCAGGATATTTAGGAAGCAGTCTCTTCCACAACGTAAATAAAAGTACAGTAGAAACATACCCTTGAAAGATAACCTGATCGTTTTGTCTAACATTGTTTCAGAAGAACATGAGGCTTATGATTGTGAGATCTGTTTTCATGTAATGGAACGTTAGTAGCCACCCCCAGAAGAATTTTTCCAGCTTACTAACACAAGTATCACCCTTGAACACAGCATGTTCCAATCTTTGAATGACCCCTTCACTGATAGGTGGCGGAGGATTCCATCTAATTCCTCAGTCATGATCAAATACATATGCTAACATAACCTAGGACATATTCAGGTTGAGTCTTAGACCATACCCAATACAATGGAAAACTGTTAAGGAGGATCTTTTTATTACAGAGTTTGTGCAAATTAAACAAGAAAGGGAAAACTTTCAAAAAAAGTGTTTTATCTTTATTCACTGAAAAGATTAATCAGTATTTTACAAGCAATAACACTAGGAGTACTTTTTCAGGCTGGTATTTTGGGATTTAGCCAAAAAAACACCCTTCATTTAAAATGAATAAGATGAATTTAATTTCCTGTTTTGCTAAAACCTCAGATGAACCTTTCATGAGGGGTTTCTTACTAGAACCTTTCATGAGGCCTTTTTTTTAGATAGAGCAGTTGATAAAAAGAGGAGCTCCAGCACCATTGTAATGATCTCCTAGCAAAGGAAAAGCACATCAGATTGTGGAACATCTCAACCTCAAATAATCCTCAGCCAGGTACATCCATAAAAAGACCCCAGATTTAATTTAAATCACAATCAAGCCTTTAATCTGGAGCCTTTAATCAAGCCTTTAATCTGGGCATACACCATGTGGAGTAGAGTGGAACGTGTTTATAAGAACGTTATGGTGAAACTGTCCATATTGAAATAGAGAAGTCCTAGAATAAATTTTAGAGTTATATTCTACTCATAGTGCAATATCATGTGTGTATATACATATATATGCATAGATATGTATGCAGAAACAGAGAGAAAGGGAGAGACTCTGGGAGCAGACAGTTTCCAAAGTTCTGTAACTGAGAGCCTGGAGAGAGAAGTGCTGAACCTGGGAAATTTCTGATTTATAGACTGAAATCCCAATGCACTGAAGTCAGTGGTTGTTTGCTGCTGACTTAAATGGAGCAAGGATATCATCCGTTATGTCCACAACAGAATACCTAGAGCTCATAAGTTTTGCAGCCTCCTAGCCTTCTTCTGTTTCCTGTGAAATTTATAATATCTTCAGGCTTTCTCAAGTTAGTGTCATTTATAGTCAAGCTGTGCCAGAGATGGAAGACTTTCTCAAGTCCTCCTTCCTCTTCAAAAACTGGCTGATTGTAATTAGACTAGATTCACCATTTTGTGGGGACTTATACAATTGAACCCTTCATCTTTCACATGAACTGCTCCATTGCTGTTTACATTTTTTAAAAGCTAATTTCCAGTATCATCTTCTCTAGAGATACTGATCTCTGCATAGTCACATATGACATCAGCTGAGGAATTAGTTGGAGGTCTTAAAGTGTGATTCTTATATGGGGATATGTGTATGTGTTCTTCATTAGCTTCACCAAATGTTACATGCATGATCTGTGCCCAAAGTAAACTTATATCCTGAAAAGTTTTGGGACAACTTAAGAAGATAGTTGGAACAGTAAAATGGATCATAATTGTGGAAGGTTTGGGATTTTAATCATTTTCCTAACTTATTTTTAGCCCACTGTGGGCACATCTACATATGCTGCTGTGGCACCGTTGTTACTGCATTGTCATTTAGTACTTCCTTTTGAAAGTACTAAAAGATGGCACAGTAACAGCCCATACTGTGCCATGTGCGCCACACACTGTTATTTTCAGGCAGTATGTTGCCATAGCGACATGCTTTAATGATGGAGCACATTGCTACGGCGACGTAACTGCAGCATCTTGGTTTTTGCCCATGGACACTATGTTGCCATAGTGCATTGCTACAATGATTTAGTGTCACATGTAGATGCTCCCTGTATTCCAAAATGACTTGGCCAAGAAAATCCAAATTTGGTTTAACCCCATGCTGAGTATGATATTAATGTCTAGGTTTGGGGGTTCATGTGTGGTGATAGTGGAAAGTACTTAGTTATTGAAGCCCACATCTTCAAAATGTGTCTTACCTTTTGTGAGCACAATTTATGTACCCATCATAACCTGGAAGTACAAATATAAGTATAATACATAACTTTGATAACTAGCCCATCCAATTTATGCCTGTAATTGAGATCATTAGTTATCCAAATGTTAGTATTTGTATGCTAAAATTATTTGTAAACATGAAAGGGAGACTTGTTTTATTCTTCACCCTCTTCCTGTCTCTTTATCCACTTCCTGGCAGCTGCTGTCTCTGTGTCTTTCTTCCTTCTTCCATCAGGAAGATTGCTCCTCTCTTTCCCCGTCCCTGTCTCCTCCCACACAATCACCAGATGGCAATACCAGAGGGGTGGGGAAGTGCTTCAGATGGTTAGATAGCACAGGGTTGATCCTCCTTCCTTTTCTATGGTAGGTGATGGCCTGTGTTCTCCCACCTGTGTAGCCACGCAACAATCTGTGTTTTCTCCCACATATCAACCATGGCTTTGGATTCAGTTACAAATATCAAGATCCTTACCATTCAGTACTTAGAGTTTAGTATTGGACATTCAGGTGTATAATTAACTTCAGAGAACTTATTAACTCTCCTGGTTCTCCTTGGCTAGAAGAAGAAAAAAGCAAGAAAGCAGCCTCAGATTATTTTAAATACACTTGGTAATGTTTTAAAATAATATGCCTACGTGCACACTTATGTAGAGTTAATGAGATAATACACTAAATCTGAGATGAACAGTAAGTTTAATTGGCTGAATATCAGTCAAAAAACAGCTCTATTGTGTGCTGGATTATTTTTTACTCAGAAAAAGAATGCACACCCCTTCAATTGAAAGCCTTGCAGAAAGGTTTACAGTGTATTTGTGACTGCAGGGAGAAGCTTTCTGGAATTTATTAGTGTCTGTATGTCCACAACTGCATCTGCTCATTTCAGCACCTAGAATAGAAATACACAGAATATTCATGAGAGTGTTTCTGTATAAGTATGTGTATGACAAATAAATAACATTAAGGAGCATTCTTAACTGGGGAATGAATGATCCATTCGAAAGATATTGTTAACCCAGTATGTTATGATGATCTGTTGATATTAGAGAAGGAAGCAGGAGGTGAATATGTTCCACTTCCTTCCGCTGCAATGTAAGTACTAATCCAGAAGCACTGGATCCCACTGACATACTCTCCTACTCAGTGACTTTCACCCGCCCTTGTAGCCAAACTTTGCAGTGATCCTGTTATCCTGGCAGAGCCTTGGATCAGTCAACTGCCAAGCAGGGAGATGTTACCTTCATAACACCTAAAGGCAACTCTTCTACTACGCATATCTCCCTTAGGACCAGCTCAACAGCAAGGCTCCAGGAGCTTCTCACAAGCTCCTGCAGCACAGAAGCTCACTCCCAGCCTCTGGTGGAAGAGGTTTCCAGGAGCTTGAGGCAGCTGTGCCTGTGTAGCCACTCTTATTCTTCAGGGTGGGCTTCAGTAGCTTCTAGCTCTGGCCCAGCCATTTCTGATAGCAGTGGGAACCCAGAGTTTATAAGCCCCTGGCTTTACTGCTACCTTCTTCAATGAACATATTTGTACTGCTCTACGTTATCTGCCTTGCTGTTACCCCTATTCATTCTCCTGATCTCTGCCAGTTCCTCCTTTTTCCATTATGCATCCCAAAACCACCATTCCTTACAATCTGTCTTGTCTCTCACAGCTTCTCTGTCACTTCTGTGTTAGTCTTACGCACTCTCCCATCACCCACAACTGTCCCTTATTTTCATCCTATCAAGCACTGTCATGCCTGAAAAAAAATAATTCCCTAAGAGTCCATCAATGGTCATAATTTGCATCAAGCAAGGGTTGAAAAAGAAGGAAAGAGAATGATGCAGTGCCATTATGGAATACTTCACACCAGCAGGATATGTGCATTGCTTACCTGAATAACGCCAACAAGCAAAAATGTGGTTTATTGAAGCCAGTAGAACCAGGATTCCACAAAGGATGGTTTACGGTCAGCCTTGCCTTCCCTCCCACTCTTCCCTGTGCTACATCTTCCTTCATGTACGTATCATGTTTGCAACTGAGCCCTGATTTTGCATTTAGCTATGCAGAGTCACTCCATTATGTTTCAGTAAGAAGCCTGAAGTCAACTTATCAAGCCAGTGTTCATCTGTTCCCTG